GGGTTTAGGGTTTAGGGTTTGTACACTTTGGCTGCAGCTTCGTTTGTTTTGGTTTTGGGGCTTGTTGGCTCTTCAGGATTTTCAGGCGGGCTCCTTAACCTCTAACTAAACCCCTAAACCCTAAANNAAACACTAAAACCCTAAACTAAACCTTTGAGCACTTTTTCCAGGACATGTATCACACATTCGTAGGACCCCAGAAAGTGGAGTGTTCTAGGGTTCATAAACCCTAAACCCTGAGCCCTGAACCCTAAACCCTAAAACCCTAAACCCTAAAACTCCAAGCCCTGAACCCCAAACCCTGAAACCCCAAAACCCCTAAAAAACCTAAAAACCCTAAAAATCCTTAACCCAACGTTCCCTAACATCTTCGGAACTCAAGAAGGCCACAAGCCCTGCAACTCGATGTGAGGGTTGTTGGGAGTCTTTAGCGTGTAGGGTTTTAGCTTTTACAAGGCCTAGGGTTCAGGGTTTTAGCTTTTAAGGATCTAGGGTCTAGGGTTTAGGGTTTAGGGCTTTAGCTTTTAATGTCTAGGGTTTAGGGTTTTTTCAAGCTAGTCTTTGGTGCGGTAATCTAAGGTACTTTGCGGTCTGGGCATTAGGCCCCCTAAACCCTAAACCCTAAACCCTAAACCGTTTAGAGTTAGAGGTGGGTTTGGTTGTAGATGACCTGTGGATCCCACAGCCTACTGTTTTAAGTTTAGGGTTTAGGTTTTAGGGTACATGGGTAGTTCCAGAAATATCACCGACAGTTGAATATAGGGGCCTTAATAGCAAGATGTAGTAAGGAACCCTAGGAATTCCTCTTGTAGTTATTCAGGCTTCTGCATTACTTGGCTACACTGACCCCCAAAGCCCCAAACACTGAAACTAAAACCCCCCAAAGCCCTGAACCCTAAACCCCTAAACCCTAAACCCTAAACCCTAAACCCCTAAACCCTAAACCCCCACACCCCCAAACCCCCAAACCCTCAAACCCCCAAACCCCCGAAACCCCCGAACCCCAGATGCGTCAGCCCATGGTCCCTATGTTTGGAGCTAGAGTTTAGCGCCACTTGTATGCAACCCATTAGGCTCCACATACCTATGTGGTATGTTTAGGTTTAGGGTATAGACTTCTACTTACTACCCATATAGTATATTTTTAATCCTTAAAGGGCCTGATAGACAAGGTACTTTAAGGACTAAGTGTCTACTATGTAGGTAGAGAGAGCCCGTTGAAACCTCAAAGCGGTAGCTAGAAAAGGTACTTTATAAGGCTTAAGTATCTACTCTATACGTACATAGAGCCTGTTGAAACCTCAAAGGGATTACTAGAAAAAGGTAACTTAAGGCACAAGTATCTGCTCTTTAGGTACGTACAGCCGGTTGAAACACCTTGAAGGGGTTACCACCATAGTACTTCAAAGCCTAAGTATCTACAAATGAAATGTACATGGAGCCTTTTTGAGCACCAGCATCCTGCAAGCTGGGACTGTGACACGGTTCGGGTCCCGTGGTTTCGGGAACTCTGACACGGCTAGTTGTAGATCTACATGTACGCGTGCTTGCGAGTGTATAGACAACATGTGTATTTGCAATACCTATACATATACATCTATTTAAGATTCTGTCTATCTATAATATATATATATATATGTATATAAATACATAAATAAATAGATAAATAAATAAATAAATAATAGATTCATGTATACAACACGTGTATATGTATATGATTATAGACATATATATATATATATATGTATATGTGTTTGTGTGCATACATACACATGTCTATGTTTATGTGTGCATCTATATATATATATATACATATATGTATGTATGTAGCTTGCATTGGGTTGGAAATTTCCTGAAACCCGGTTAGGCGGCCTGAACCCTGAACTCAACCCCTCCATGCTCTGCCTTTGCAGCTAAGGATGGGCATTTCAAGCAGTGTGCCGGCGATATGGCTTCAGATCGTTGTAGGAGTTATGCTTGAGAGTGTTGTGCATGTAGGGCTTGGCCCCAAGCCATATTAGGAGCCCGAGCCCAAAGTGCCCTGGGCTACGGTACGATCATGGGACTCAGTATCTAGGGTTACGTACAAGTAAGGTAACTATACGTATAACCTCTTACTACTATTCGTACCCCACAGTTAGGGTACTTGTAACTATACTATACGTCACATATAAGTACACATACAGTGTATACATAGATTCTCACACCTGCCAGTCATCAACCTCAACTTCTAAACCTTACACCATAAACTGGGGAACTAGCGGGCTTTAGATTTCAGTGTCTCAGAGATGCTCCACCAACGCCATGGCCGATTGCATCTTGAGCGTCCCGCCGCCTGCAGAGGCCGTTCCGGACAAGGACAATCGCATTGTGAGCGTTCACTGCCTGGCAGGTTCCAGCTTTGAGCTGGAGGTCAACTCTGCTGAAACGGGGTGGGAAGTAGCGGAACGCATCGCAGCCGGAGTTGGCCACCCGGCAGGTTTACTGGTGCTGACATCCGGTGGTTGGGTCATCGATCCGCGCCAGCTGCTGCTGCATCAAGTCCAGCACGACGAGATCTGGTACGTCGTGCGGAAGCTTGGCGCGGGTCGTGTCGCCTTGCTTTGGGAGCGCCTACTCGAAGAGAAGACCCTGTCTGATGTAGCTGCCCTGAACGAAACGATGTCACTCACGTGGTATTCCAACCAAGACCTCAACCAGGGCATCCAACTACCCAGCAGCCTGCACAGTTTGACGTTTGGTGACTCTTTCAACCAGCGCCTGGAGGGCATCCGACTGCCCAGCAGCCTGCAGAGTTTGACATTTGGTCGCCAGCAGCCTGCAGAGCTTGAAGTTTGGATATATGTTCAACCAGGGCCTGGAGGGCATCCAACTACCCATGAGCCTGCAGAGTTTGACGTTTGGAGAGGGGTTTAACCAGAGTCTGGAGGTCATCCAATTACCCAGCAGCCTGCAGAGTTTGACATTTGGTCGCAATTTCAACCAGAGCCTGGAGGGCATCCAACTACCCAGCAGCCTGCAGAGTTTGACGTTTGGAACGGAGTTTAACCAGAGTCTGGAGGTCATCCAACTACCCAGCAGCCTGCAAAGTTTGACATTTGGTCGCAATTTCAACCAGAGCCTGGAAGGCACCCCTCTACCCTGCAGCCTGCAGAGTTTGACGTTTGGATATAAGTTCAACCAGGGCCTGGACGGCATCCGACTACCGAGCAGCCTGCAGAGTTTGACGTTTGGAAGTGAGTTCAACCAGAGCCTGGAGAGCACCCAACTACCCAGCAGCCTGCAGAGTTTGACGTTTGGATATATGTTCAACCAGAGCCTGGAGGGCATCCAACTACCCAGCAGCCTGCAGAGTTTGACGTTTGGAGGTGGGTTCAACCAGAGCCTGGAGGGCATCCAACTACCCAGCAGCCCGCAGAGTTTGACAATTGGAGGTGGGTTCAACCATAGCCAGAGCCTGGAGGGCATCCAACTACCCAGCAGCCTGCAGAGTTTGACGTTTTCAAATTATTTCAACCAGAGCCTGGAGGGCATCCAACTACCCAGCAGCCTGCAGAGTTTGACGTTTGGAGCTTATTTCAACCAGAGCCTGGAGGGCATCCAACTACCCAGCAGCCTGCAGAGTTTGACATTTGGTCACAATTTCAACCAGAGCCTGGAGGGCATCCAACTACCCAGCAGCCTGCAGAGTTTGACGTTTGGTCACGATTTCAACCAGAGCCTGGACAGCGCTCAACTACCCAGCAGCCTGCAGAGCTTGAAGTTTGGATATAAGTTCAACCAGGGCCTGGACGGCATCCGACTACCGAGCAGCCTGCAGAGTTTGACGTTTGGAAGTGAGTTCAACCAGAGCCTGGAGAGCACCCAACTACCCAGCAGCCTGCAGAGTTTCACGTTTGGATATATGTTCAACCAGAGCCTGGAGGGCATCCAACTACCCATCAGCCTGCAGAGGTTGACGTTCGGAAGGGAGTTCAACCAGAGCCTGGAGGGCATCCAACTACCCAGCAGCCTGCAGAGTTTGACGTTTGGAGGTGGGTTCAACCAGAGCCTGGAGGGCATCCAACTACCCAGCAGCCTGCAGAGTTTGACGTTCGAAGGTGGGTTCAACCAGAGCCTAAATGGCATCCAACTTCCCATCAGCCTGCGAAGTTTCACTTCCAGATATTTTCGTGTAGAGACGTGGTGAGCAGTGATGTCCTGATTTAGTTTCCACTTCGAAGGGCAACTATTTGCAGCTTCTTTTGGGCATTGTTACATGGTTCGGGTTTAGGTTTTAGGGTTTAGGGTTTAGGTTTTAGGGTTTAGGGGTTTGGGTTCAGGGCTTCTGTCTTCTGCTCGCCAGGGAGGACACGCGCCCCAGTACCAGTGGTGGACGCTCTGACAGCGGCTCTTCGCCAACCAGGACTGCTCCGGTTGGAAAGATATAGAGGCCTGAAGTTCCAACAGGGTAGTAATATCCAGGGTCTAGGGTTTAGGGTTTAGGGTCTAGGGTTTAGGGTTTAGGGTTCTAGTCCCTGTATGACTACAGTATACTATGCCCCCAAACCCTCGAAAATATTATTCGGGGTCCCAGGTCTGAATATTGATCTCATGGGTGTCAGCGTCAGTAGGGCACCCAGAGAGCCCAATACCCCGTACTTCAAGAATGGACTCAGAGTTCAGATGGCTCAAAGATAATGACTTAAAGTATGCGCATATCCCGAAAACCCACAGAATAGTTGCATGATGATCCTATTCCATTTAGAATGCCCCCCTTTATGAAGCCACGGTAAGACCGAACTTGGTGCAGGAAGACTGGCAGCGAAAAGGCGCGATATGAGAAGTTGGGGTTTATAGGGTTTAAGATTCAGCGTTCAGAGTTTTGCGGTTTAGTGTAGTTCAGGGTTCAAGATTCAGGGTTTAGGGCCTAGGGTGTAAGAGTGTGGGGTTTAGGGTTCAAGATTCAGTGTTTAGGGTGTAGTTAGACCCGCCAACTACCCTCTAATATACTCTGAATAGATACCCCTGTCAAGGACCCTCATAGGTTTTATGGGGGTCGAAGGTGTGGGATTTGGGACCATAGGAGTGTATAGGAGTTACATAACAAACTTTGGCTTCAATCCTGGACCCAGCAGTCCCTCGATGTCCTGCCACGGTTTAGAGTTTAGGGTTTGGGGTTTAGGGTTTAGGGTTGCCCTAAACCCTAAACCCTATTATAAACCCTAAACCCTAAAACCTAAACCCTAAACCCTAAACCCTAAACCCTACCGAGCCGGGCCTGTCGGCAAGACAGAAGCCTAATAAACTGGTTATATCGGGCGTTAATACCCCGGTTTAGGGTTTAGGGTTTAGGGTTTAGGGACCCTAAGGGTCCATGTACCCAAATAGTATATACATTGGCCCCAAAGTACCTATATAGGGACTACATTAAGGCCAAAGCATATCCTATGTGGGTACATGGACCCTTAGGGATACTTAGAACAGGTTCGGGGGTATCCTATGTCCCAAGCATGTAAGGTTTAGACGGGGATACTTCGACGGATTCTTCCGAAGTGTTGCCACTTAACCATACCTTACGGACGCGTGCGGATCCTCGCCCGGCGCAGGGGATGAAACGGACACATTATAGAAGGCCCTAAACCCTAAGCTCTTAGCCCTAAACCCTAAACCCTGAACCCTAAACCCTAAACCCTAAACCCTGAAGGGTTTCAGCGGATCCATGGTTTAATTCTGAAGGTTTCCCGCCATACCGAAGCACGGTATGGGGTTTAGGGTTTAGGGTTTAGGGTTTAGGGTTTAGGGTTTAGGGTTTAGGGCCAAATCCTGCAGATCAATGGTCAAACGGTTGATGATGTACATCCTTGGGTCCTTGAGTAACCCTAAATCCTAAACCCTCAACCCTAAAGGAAATCATCAAGAGAATCTCTCAACTTGGAGCCAGGATGATTAGGTTAGTTTAGGGTTTAGGCTTTAGGACGGTCCCTTGCCAAGCACTGCAAGCGCAGCGCCGACAACACCAACATACAGTCTTCAAGAATGATACAACCTGCTGCAGATATCGGACAATCACGCAGGGGAAATCCTAAACCGTGAGACTTAAGCCTTATAACCCTAAGCCCTAAATGGGGGTTTCCGAAAATAGGGGACTCTAATATAGTACCCTAAATAGGAAGATCCTTATTATAAGGACCCCCAAATAGGATACCCTAAACCCTAAACCCTAAACCCTAAACCCTAAACCCTGAACCCTAACTTTCGGAAACCCCTAAACCGGTTGAGACACGCTGCTGCAGGTCTCGAAAAAGCAGACCAGCACGGACATAAGGCGGGCCTAGCCTCTTTTGGGCTTACCTGCGGGTTTAGGGTTTAGGGTTTAGGGTTTAGGGTTTAGGGTTTAAGGTCTAAGGTAGAACCCATGGGCCCCTAACATGGGCCCTTAGGGGATTCTAGGGCCCCTTAAGGGTATATATATATATATAGATATTTGCCTTTGCGGGCTGTCAGAGGAAGTACGCAGCCTAATTACATGCATACACCCGCCACTGGCGAAAGGGCAGTGACAGAAGATGATGCCAGAAGCTAGCAGGCGCTGTGAGCTGCGGCACACTCCCGTTTAGAGCAGCCGACCAGCACTGCTGAAGCTTAACAGGCACAAACGACCAGTAAGTCGTAGCCACAACTGCTTCATCAATCACCCTACTGGAGAGATCCCAAGCAGTTTCCCAGGAATCTTCCAGGTTGAAAAGAGTGACTTCAGGGGTCCTGTGGCCGGTGGCCATTCGGCCTGCCAATGCCTCCCAATCAATCCTGTCCACTTCTGCAGTGAAATCTTGCAGAGTCTCAGCCTTAGGGGGCTCACTGACGGCCTCAGTTCTGGTAGTCCAGGGGGAAAGAGGAAAAGCATCTAGTGCACCGCAGAGGGCCTTAAAGACTTCCGTTGTCCAGTAGTCGCACTCACCGGACGCAAAGACCTGGCGAACCTCGGCACCAACATGCTCCACAACTTCAACCATCTC